AGACGGGCATGGTAGCACATGCCTGTAGTTCCTGCTACTCTGGAGGCTGAGTGGGGAGGATCTCTTGAGCCCTAGAGTTTGAGGCTGCAGTGAGCCAGGATTACACCACTGCACTCCAGCCTGCGTGACAGAGCAAGACTCTTGTCTCTAAAAAAAAAAAAAAAAAAAAAAACAAAAAAAAAACTCCTATAGATTTTATTTATAGTATTTTAGGTAATTGATGTCTAAAGCGGTAGTATTCAAATCTGACTGGCATTGGGATCACTAATTTTCAAAATACAGAATTAGGCCTTAACTCAGCCATTCTAAATCAAGATTTATGGGGGCCAAGCCAGGATATCTATATTTCTAAAAGCTCTTGGTGATTATTGTGCTGGTTTTTTAAACTCATTACTCTCTAAAGTACTGTTGTGTTTAACTCCAAAGAGCTTATATTTTAAATAGTCATGGTTAAATGTATAATTTTTACTGCAGCATGGAAGACTAATGAGAAATATTTTTAACTCTGGATACATTCATATCTATCCATTGTCAAGAACATTTGTTTATTTTAAGGTAATAACATATTTTCATTAAAACTATTGATAACATGTGATAGGGATTCCCCCCCCCCATCTTCCTTTCTTTTCTTTTCTTTTCTTTTCTTTTCTTTTCTTTTTCTTTTTCTTTTTCTTTTTCTTTTCTTTCGAGACAGAGTCTCCCTCTGTCACCCAGGCTGGAGTGCAGTGGTGCAATCTTGGCTCACTGCAGCCTCTGCCTCCCAAGTTCAGGTGATTCTCCTACCTCAGCCTCCTTAGCAGCTGGGATTACAAGCACCCGCCACAATGCCTGGCTAATTTTTGTATTTTTAGTAGAGAGGGGGTTTCATCATATTGGCCAGGCTGGTCTCAAACTCCTGATCTCAAGCGATCCGCCCACCTTGACCTCCCAAAGTGCTGGGATTACAGGCATGAGCCACCGTGCTTGTCCTATCCCCTATCTTTTAGATTTTATTCTACTGTTTCTCAGAAGTAGTGGAGATTTTGCCAGTAAATTCTGTACCATATTAGGACAGGATGGTTACTGCATTGACCGTTTTATGTTTTGAAGAAGAAAGCCAAGCACAGTGGCTCTCGCCTGTAATTCCAACTGCTTGGGAGACTGAGGCGGGAGGATTGATTGAGACTTGGAGTTTGAGACCCACCTGGGCAACATAGGGAGACTCTTGTCTCTAAAAAAATTTTTTTTAAATTAGACGGGCATGGTAGCACATGCCTGTAGTTCCTGCTACTCTGGAGGCTGAGTGGGGAGGATCTCTTGAGCCCTAGAGTTTGAGGCTGCAGTGAGCTATGATTGTACCACTGCACTTCAGCCTGGGTAACAGAGCAAGAATCCTCTCTCTCTCTCTCTCTCTCTCTCTCTCTCTCTGTGTGTGTGTGTGTGTGTGTCTCTGTCTCTCTGTCTCTTCTTTGTAAAGAATAAGGTAGAATTTTAGAGGAGGGAGACACTGGAGAGATTATATAGTCTCAGGGGTTAGCAAACTTTTGCTGTGAAGGGCAAAATAGTAAATATTTTAGGTCTGTGGACATACAGTCTCTGTTGCAACTACTAAATTCTGCCAGTATCGGGTAAAAAAAAAAGCCATAGACAATTTATAAATGAAGGGTGTGACTGTGTTCCAATAAAACTATTTACAAAAACAGCAACTTTGCTGACCCTTGATACAGTCCATTCCCGAGAGGGAAAGTGTAACTTGTCTAAGGTTATAAAATTAGAGGCTGGCAGAAAACTCACTATGTGGAATGCTGTTAGCAGTTTTATTTAATCTTCACATAGATGAAAAAATGAAACCTAAGAGGTTAAAGAATTTCTCTAAAGTTAGTAAGTGGTACTGGGATTCACACTTATTTTTTGCTAGACCAAATATCTGCTTTCAGCTACATCGTAATGGTTTTCCATGCTCTTCAATGTCCCAGAATGGGAATGCAAAGAAAAGCAAGACATTGTGATTTTTCATTAGTGCTTGGCACATAGTAGGCATTTACATCAGTGAATGTTAGCAATATCATGGCATGCAGTGGAAGGACTTGAGCTGAACCCTGAAGGAAGGGCTGTATAATTTTGATTCTTTGCAATTTTTTAACATGTATTTCCTTTTGGTCAACAATAATAAAGGAGTTATATTTTTCTTATTTCTGATTCTAGTAGCTGCTGCTGGTGGTGACAATGTCAAATAACGGCCTAGACATTCAAGACAAACCCCCAGCCCCTCCGATGAGAAATACCAGCACTATGATTGGAGCTGGCAGCAAAGATGCTGGAACCCTAAACCATGGTTCTAAACCTCTGCCTCCAAACCCAGAGGAGAAGAAAAAGAAGGACCGATTTTACCGATCCATCTTACCTGGAGATAAAAGTACAGTATTTGATTTTATTCTCATCATTTGTATGCTTTAAAAAAATTATTTTGGGTAACCTGGATAAAAGATCTGTCGTCTTTGACTTAATTTTCCTTTAATGCTTTTTTTTTCTGGTTAAATATTTCTCTTTCTTCTGACAGTGGCTGAAACCAAATGGAAAATAGACCTATTTTTATACTGTATTAACTATATCTGAGCAAAACTGTAAGAGAATAATTATGCTCTTGCCAGATTTGGGACAATCTGAAGTGATTTATTTATTTTTAAGTTCTTAAACTGTTTAGGAAGTCACAAAATGTAAGAAAAATTGGTATGTCTTTATTTGGAATTTTTTTCCCCTGAATTAGTTTCAATTGGAAATGTTTTCTTTCCAAAATCTTGATTGCCTTTTCTTTATTCCGACTTCCTGGTCCCACTTTCAGGTTTGGGGACTACATATCAGTAAGAATGGCAAGTAACAGCTGAGAAAAGGATGCAGAGATAACTAGCATTTAGCATGAGTTTACTATGAATAAATTATCCTGGGCAGTCTCATTTCCTTTTTATTGATAAAACTTCTATTAATAGAAGAATAATCATAGGATGAATAGTGTTGATTTTAACACTGTTAATTTAACAGTGTATATGAAAAAGTCGCCAAGATCCTTGTAGACAAGGTTGTAAAATAAAGGTTTTGCTATCCACAACAGAAGATCACTTTTGTTTGATACCAAAAATGTTGACTTAAGTGGCTGTTGCTCTGAAGTAAAGTTCTCTCTCCGTATGTTTGTGGGCCCTGTTCTTATAGCGTGCTAAAGATACTGGCTTTCTGTGTGTAAGTAGTTATCATGAGCTTCTAGTTTAGATGTAGCTGGGTCACCACTTACCAGCTTTCTCATCTTAGGCATGTCAGTTAACTGCTTTGACCTTTATTTAGTTTCCTATTTCAGAAGTGAGATATCATTTCACAGGGTAGTTGTGAAGACTACATACAAAGTTCCTAATAGAGTAACTTCCACACAGAAGGTACTTAAATGTTAGTTCTCTGTCTCTTTACTCTTTTGTCTCTGTCTCTTTACTCCTTTGTCGATGAATAGAAACTGGGAGGCATAGCTAGTAGACTACATGGTAAAATCAGAGCTGAGATTCTGAAACAGTAGGGCAGATACAACAAGCACAATGGTGGATTGCAGAAAACATCTCATGTTGTAGAAAAAATATAATTGCCTAACTGCAGATCAGGGGAGATGGTAGATGGTAGTGTCATTAGCCAAATAGGAAACACAGAAAGAAGGAACAAATTGGGAGCGTTGGTGATTGGAGAGCAGGGAAGATGATGATTTCGGACACATAGCTTTTATATACAGATACATCTTATGAGCAGACTTCATGTATTGTAATGTTTGTTGTAAAAGTGAAATGAGACATAATGAGGACTTTTAATGAGTACATTGGGCTTATATCTTTTTGTGTATGAATCCTTCTACTCCACCTTCCCTTCCCTGTGGGTTTGGGGGGTTTGGGTAGAAAAGAAGGCCAGGCACAGGGGCTCATGCCTGTAATCCCAACACTTTGGGAGGCCGAGGTGGGAGGATCGCTTGAGCTCAGGAGACCAGCCTGGGCAACATAGCAAGACCTTGTCTCTACTAAAAAAAAAAAAAAAAAGATCAGGCATGGTGGTGTGTGCCTGTAGTAACAGCTGCTTGGGAGGCTGAGGCAGGAGGATTGCTTGAACCTGGGACTTTGAAGCTGCAGTGAGCTATGATCATACCACTGCACTCCAGCCTGGGTGACAGAGTGAGATCCTGTCTTAAAAAAAAATAAAATAGGCCGGGCGTGGTGGCTCACGCCTGTAATCCCAGCACTTTGGGAGGCTTAGGTGGGTGGATTACCTGAAGTCAGGAGTTCAAGATCAGCCTGGCCAACATGGTGAAACCCCATCTCTACTAAAATACAAAAAATTAGCCGGGCATGGTGTGGGCGCCTGTAATCCCAGCTACTCAGGCGGCTGAGGCCAGGAGTATCACTTGAACCCGGGAGGCAGAGGTTGCAGTGAGCCAAGGTCACGCCATTGCACTTCGGCCTAGGCAACAAGAGTTAAATTCCATCTCAAAAAAATAAATAAATAAAATAAAAGATGTGGATAAGTTGCTTAACTTTGATTTCCTGACTAATTCATTCATATAGTAGCTGCCAACTTCCTTGGTACAAGGGCTATGATCTGAGGCAGTGTTAAATGCCCTGCAATCTTCTTCCACATATAGAGCCACTTTCTTTACCCCTCAATTTAGATGTGTATTTATTTTTAATATTGTGTCTTATCAACCAGTATTCTTGATCTCTGTAAATAAATAGGCTTTCAGCCCAAGTGTCTACATGTAGTAAAAGAGAACTTTTTAAATTAAAAAGTTTAAATTGTTCTTGCTGACTCAAACTAGAAGGGTAATAAAATTCTCATCCATAGGCATCATCAAAACTAAAAACATTTATGTTTCAAAGGGCATCATCCAGAAAGCAAAAAGGTAACCCACAGTAGGGAGAAAATTTTCCCAAATTACATGTTTTATAATGGATGTGTATCTAAAATATGTGAAGAAGAACTATTGCAAGTCAACAACCAAAAGACAAGTAATTTTAAAATGGGCAAAATATGTAAATAGACATATCTCCAAAGAACATATACAAATGGCCAAGAAGCACATGAAAGGATGCTCAAATCATTAGCCATCAGGGAAATGCAAATCAAAACCACAATGAGACACCACTTCACACTCACTAGGATGGCTATAATAAAAAAGATAATGACAAGTGTTAGTGAGGATGTGGAGAAGTTGCAACCCTCATAATTGCTGGTGGGAATGTAAAATGGTGCAGCCTCTGTGGAAAACAGTCTGGCAGTTCCTCAAAAGGTTAAACATAGAGTTACCAGCAGTACATGAATGTTTATAGCAGCATTCATAATATCCAAAAAGTGGAAACAACCCAAATATCCCATCAGCTGATGAATAGATAAATAATAAAATGTGGAATATCCATACGATGAAATATTTGGTAACAAAGACATGAAGTTCTGATCCATGCCATGACATGGATGAACCTTGAATGCTGCGTTAAGTGAAAGAAGCCAGTTAAAAGGATCACATGTAATATGATTTTATTTGTAGGAAATGTCCAGCATTGGTAAATTCATAGAAAGAAAGTAGATTAGTGGTTGCCTAGGGCTGCAGAGAGGGAGAGGCAATTAAAACTAGGAGATGATTACTAAGAGGGGTGGGGTTTCTTTTTGTAGTGATGAAATGTTCTAAAATTGATTTTGGTGATACCTGTCCAGCTCTCTGAATATATTAAAAGCCATTGAATTTTACACTATATGAGTGAATTGTTTGGTAAGTGAATTACCTCTCAATAAAGCTGATTTTAAAAAAAGAAGATTCCTGTCTGAAACAGCAGATGGAAGCAGAGCCTTCGGACATCATTGGGACCTGAAGGGACAATCTTATGTGCTAAATGGGAAAGTGGGGGTCCAGATATTGGGATTATAGTCTTGGTTCTTCCATAAATTGGCTGGCTGATTTGGGTCAATTATTTCTCTGTAGACGTCAGTGCCTTCATCTAGAAAAGGAGAGAGAGCAGTAGGCATGTGCAGTTTCTTTTAGCTTTAGAATCCTATAATTACATAAATGAGAGATTGCAAAGGCATGGTTAGATCAGGCTTGTCTATATAGGTGAGAAGAAACTAGGCCATTGTAAAGTACTTTATTCAGTGATGCAGCTCTAGAAAATCCTAGCTGAGTAACCCTAGGCTAAATCTGATCTGAAAATACATCTCATAACCTCAAGATCAAAACTGCATCTCTGTAGGTTGAGGGCATAGAGGTAGGAAACATACAGAGTTATAAGAATTTCTCACAAAATGATCTAACAATCTTTCATCCTTTGGGTATAGATTTTCTATATTTGCCCTGGGCACATAGGTTTCATCCCTTTGCTTTAAGACCCTTGATGGCTATAATTAATGCATACATCAAAATGAAAGAAGTCTGAGGTATTTTTCTTTTGTTTGAAACCTTTGATCAACCAGTAAGCTACTCAACTTAGTCCTAGAAGGATACACAGCAGTGTTGGTAGTCTTTGAAGTGGTATGCCCTTCATGTAGTATTTGAGCATTTATACCAGCTGCATAGAGTTATGTCTAGAACTGGACTTGTAACACAGATTGAGTCCAGCCACTGACATTTGTTAACTCTGATTTGTTTTTTAAATTTCATTTCAATATCCTTACTTCCCATTCACCCTATATCATTAGTAGGCTTTTGTCATTTGACATAGTAGATATAAAAGCATTTTCTAAACTAAAATGCAATACAAATAGGAGGTTTGTTTTTTAAAAATGGAAACCTCATTTATTGTTTTATTTGATACCTACATCAACTCATTTTTAGTTGGGGAGGTTAAGGCTTAGAGAAAAGTAAGTTGCTCAAGGTCTCACAAGTGGCAAGTGGGAGGGCTGAGTATGGAACTAAGTCTTCCTAAATTATCTGTTCCATTGTCACATAACTGTCTCTCTTAGTTCTCAACCCTGATTACACATTGGACTCACTTATGGTGCTTTTAAAAAATACAGGGCAGGGTGCAGTGGCTCATGCCTGTGATCCCAGAAGTTTGGGAGGCCAAGGCGGGCAGATCACTTGAGGTCAGGAGTTCTAGACCAACCTGGCCAACATGGCGAAACCCTGTCTCTACTAAAAATACAAAAATTAGCCGGTTGTGGTGATGGGCACCTGTAATCCCAACTACTCGGGAGGCTGAGGCAGGAGAATCGTTTGAATCTGGGAGGCAGAGGTTGCAATGAGCCAAGATCATGCCACTGCACTCCAGCCTGGGTAACAGAGTGAAACTCCTTTACAAAAAAAAAAAAAGTGGCCGGGCGTGGTGGCCCACACCTGTAACCCCAGCACTTTGGGAGGCCAAGGCAGGCGGATCACTTGAGGTCAGGAGTTCGAGACCAGCCTGGCCA